AATTAAAGTTGTGCACAACTTTAGTTGGCCTTCACGAGTAGGAGATGAAGGCGGAGCCACACCAGGAGGATCGGCAGGATCACCGGGTTTGATAATGATTGAATAATGGATGTTTTCCGGGTAGGAGAAGATGCTTACGAAGGAGGCAGGAGTTCGAGAGAGCTTGCAAAGGAGGCAGGAGTTCGAGAGAGCTCGTTGATGTTGCTTTGGTCTCTAAGTGGGAGATTGTTAGTCTTAAGAGTGTAGACCCAAAGCTAAATCAAAAAGACGAAGAAAACAGTTTAGTTGCTGGTCGGTCGACCGACAGACCGGTCGACCGAACATCCTGCAGAAACTAAGAATTTTGATATCTCTGTGGCCGGTCGACCAACACTAAGGTCCGGTCGACCGAAAACATACACGCAGCAACCCTGTAAAATCAACGTTTTGGCCGGTCGATCGACAAACATGTCCGATCGAGCGAAATTGGTTTTTCTAGTTTCCAAATTTGTTTTTGGAAATCTGATTGGACTAGGATCCTATATAAACTCCTATATGTTTCTAGGGTTTATTACTGACGAAAAATAGAGGGTTTTGGCTGCTCTTTGAGATCAAATTTCCTAGAGAGAGATGTCTATTGTGAGCATTGTAATCTTCTTCAATTAATCAAAGAATTGTATGGTGTGGCTCCTGAGAACGTAGGCATGTTGCTGAACCTCGTTAAATTTGGTGACGTGAAGTTACCGTTGGAGAAGATTTTGGGGAGTCAAAATTTTGCGAATATGTTAACGAAAGCAGTGATCATTGACAAATTAAAGTTGTGCACAACTTTAGTTGGCCTTCACGAGTAGGAGATGAAGGCGGAGCCACACCAGGAGGATCGGCAGGATCACCGGGTTTGATAATGATTGAATAATGGATGTTTTCCGGGTAGGAGAAGATGCTTACGAAGGAGGCAGGAGTTCGAGAGAGCTTGCAAAGGAGGCAGGAGTTCGAGAGAGCTCGTTGATGTTGCTTTGGTCTCTAAGTGGGAGATTGTTAGTCTTAAGAGTGTAGACCCAAAGCTAAATCAAAAAGACGAAGAAAACAGTTTAGTTGCTGGTCGGTCGACCGACAGACCGGTCGACCGAACATCCTGCAGAAACTAAGAATTTTGATATCTCTGTGGCCGGTCGACCAACACTAAGGTCCGGTCGACCGAAAACATACACGCAGCAACCCTGTAAAATCAACGTTTTGGCCGGTCGATCGACAAACATGTCCGATCGAGCGAAATTGGTTTTTCTAGTTTCCAAATTTGTTTTTGGAAATCTGATTGGACTAGGATCCTATATAAACTCCTATATGTTTCTAGGGTTTATTACTGACGAAAAATAGAGGGTTTTGGCTGCTCTTTGAGATCAAATTTCCTAGAGAGAGATGTCTATTGTGAGCATTGTAATCTTCTTCAATTAATCAAAGAATTGTATGGTGTGGCTCCTGAGAACGTAGGCATGTTGCTGAACCTCGTTAAATTTGGTGTGTTCTTTCTTGTTTATTTTCCTGCAAGTTTTATCTTTTATTTGTGGTGTTTTTTTCTACTTTCCTACTCTCAACACAAGGTCCGGAAGAGCACAAATTCGATTTGATTGTTTCAGATCCCTAACAATGAATCGAGTCAATTCGTCTCTGTCTCGTATGAATTCAAAACGGGACGAATCAAATTCATCTCGTTCAGAATTCGTACGTGATGAATTCGATAACTTGATCACGAATTGAGTCGTAGACCTAGTTCTTGACCCGTCTAGTGGCGAGACGAGTTAGACTCGTTTCACCACGATACTAGCGAATTGGGCATTTTTTTCGATTTTCCTTTATTTCCTCTTATTTTTTGTTCTTCAAAATTTTTTCTCTAGACTAATATTATTTTATATTTTTTATATAATTTATATAATTTTTATATTTTATAATAATGAAATACAAGTGTACCAATTACAAGAAATAAGGAGAAATAATAGAAGAAACTTTTTATTTCATAAAATAATAACAGATTCACTTCACATAATCTTTGACAATATATTAAGAATAGAAAACTTTATTAGGGGGAAGAAGTGTAAGCTCTAGATGAATTGTCTGAGGCTCCAGAAAAACATTTGAAAAAAGAGTTGTAGTTCTTCATAACGTGAGATGTTGTAAATGCTAGTGGGAGAAAAAGATGAGAGTTAATACTTTAGTAGAAGATGAGAGTTTGAGTTATGAAGAATGAAAGGGATTTAGGCTAGGGGATATTCATAGGATGAGGGGGAGGGGGGTTGGGGTGGGGGATAATGGCGGTCTCTCACTCTCCAACGACTCTTTTTTGAGCTGTTAGGGGCCTTAAAAAAATTTTTTGGACTGCCAATTAATTTGGTAGCCTCTCTCTCTCTCTCTCTCTCTAGCAGTTGGGTGCCATTATTATTATTTTTTGGACTTTTGGACTGACTGTCAATTTTCTTGTCTAAGCAGTACTTGTGTAGAAGGACTTTAAAAAAATTACTATCAGAGGCTGGGGTAAATTTCCTCGGCCCAACTCGTCTCGTGACTCTTGGCGAGACTCGTCTCGTTTACTGTTCACAAGGCGAGGCGGGTTAACTCATCTCATAAACGAATCGGGTCTATATATACCCGTCTTGTACCTATTTAAATCCGGTTCGTGCGGGTTCACGTGACGAATTTGGGTGGGTCGAAACAATTCAACCCGCCCCGTTGGCCATCTCTACCTGCAGACCAAGCACGTGGTCTTTCTACACATATCTTTGCTCAACTTAAAGTTTTGAGTGGTTGACGAGAGGAAAAATATCTAGAAGGTGGTGTGAAAACCTTTTCAACTCTTTTCCAAAAATCAATAAGATTTTCTTTTCAAGTATTTATAAGAAACTCCAGCAAATTGTTTTTCAAAGGTTTTTCAACTCATAAGGGCTGTAAGATAAAATGTTGTATTTTTTCATGTTCTCGATCTCCTTTTATCTCTTTCAACACCGAAGTACGTAACTCCGATATCTATTTCTCTGGCTCATGTCGATGGCAATGGGATAAATTATATATACTGATTTTTTATTGCTAAAAGTGCGTTATGCAGAGATTGGAAAGCAAGGAGCAGTTATTCAAATCTTTTCGGTATTTTGATAAGAATAGCGGTGAATGAGTTGTTGTTGTTTATTTTATGCTAAATAATAGCGATCGATGAATGAGTTGTTAGTAAGATGAACTCTTTTGATCTATGTTACGCTCACACATAAACTCTATGGTAAAAGTGTGTTAATTTGCTACGTAATTTTAACTAATTGATTTAATTAACAGATTTTTAATCAGGATGATGAGTTGGATTGGTCATGAAGAAGGAGCATAGAGTGGGTGATGACGCCACGATCAAGGATAACTTAACTTGAGTCTGAGATTGTATTTCGTGTACAAATGTTATAAGAAAAATCATTTACCAAGGGAAGCCTAAGAAACTGTATGAGATATTCACGTTGTTCTTTTGTCTGAGATATTTGACACCAAGAAGTAGACAGCACACCATTCAGACTTGAGTTTTCGAAACTTCTCGAGTGATGTTAGCGTGTGTATATTTGAGTTGTATCCGACTTTTTATCATTTGATATCTGACTATAGGTCGAACCAAGTACATTATTCAAAAAGTTCACTTAGCTCAACTGTGATGGTTGTCAGTACTGTCTACTCATGCGGGTCCAGGACTTGATTTTGTTGAGGTGATTGATAATGTGAGTATAGTCTCACGTCGGATACGATAAGAAACATCGATGAGTTTAAATAGGAGTTTGAGTCAATACCCGATAGCTATAGTTTTTTTGGTTAAAATTGATTCCTAACTTCTGTTTAAGGCCCATTAATTCTAGATTGGGCCCGATTTCTCCCCTATTGCTCTTATAAAATAAGAACGTATAAGAATGCTTAGTTTGACATATGATTTGTATTTCTAGGGAAGAGATCTCAATTATGTTTTTAGGTACGCAGTCCTGGAGCAGGGCACCTATGGCCTATGTACATCAAATTTTAGTTGGGGAAAGTTTATTGCCTTCCTAATGGATATCTTGACGTGTAACTAACTTTAAGAAGCCCAATATGCTAGCACAGATATGAGATAACGTGCAATATGATGACTATTTGTAGCTTACCTGAAAATTTTGAAGTTCCGACTAGTTGACTTGATTTGAAAAAATTGTTTTAACAAAATTAAAATTTAAAAATTTGCTTGAAAATTTTGTAGTTTTAAGGATTTTTTTTAGATTTAGGCTCCAGAATCTATGTGATTCATTTATCCACATGCATCTGCTATAACTATTCCCTATTTTTGGGATATTTTTATTGGCTTGGGTTTGATTTAATGTGGAATGCTTTGGGTTCTCTTCCTTTAGATATATTTTTCGCTATATTCCTTTCCTTGAGAAGACTTCTCGGTGTCAAAATAAAAAAAAATAAAAAAATAAAATAAAAACGTCTGATAATTTTTTAATTTAATATAATTTGTTGGTAAATATATGTCACGTTGTTCAAACTTTAAATAACATTTTAGTATAAATCCGTGTATCGCACGGGTTTGAAACTAGTTTGACCCTATTTGCACTCAATCCCCTTAAAATTTAAAATAAACACTTGCCAAATCCGATTCTTTTACCAAAAACTCTTTATCCAATCCCTAAATTCCCACCAGTTCTCCAAAATTTTAAAATCACCTCTCCGTTTATATAGTCACGAGACTCATATATACTAAGCTATACTTGTAAACTTACTCCCATGACCAAAGTTTCTAAAACGCCCCTCTGATTGCAGCAACGAAACAAACGGTGAGCATAATAAGTATGAGCTTTGAAGTCACTTGGGGGTAAAAAAAAAAAAAAAAAAAGTTTGTGTACATATATATGTCCTTGGGCCAAAAAAAAAAAAAAAAAAAAGTTTGTGTACATATATATGTCCTTGGGCCGAACTAGGCTTTGATATGGGCCGTCCCTTTAGTGAGAACACAGCCCGCACTCGACTCTTGCCCTGCTCCATTTTTTCCTTCGCAGACCAAAAGAGCTTTTTGAGCACAAAGCGCGAAAGAAGAAGAAGAAGAAGAAGAAGAGAAAAAGCCCTAATGAGCTTAGCTCGCTATGCTAAAACCCTAGGTGTCCGCTATTCTCACGCCCGATTCATCTCCTCCACCCCTTACCGCCTTGGATGGGTCGACAAGATCAAGGGCGTCTTCACGGGCAAACCCTCGTCCCCTTCTCCCGATTCCTCTTCTTCCTCCTTCTCCCTCAATGGTACCTAAAACCCTAACCCTAACCCTAATGTCCCCTTGCTTTCTTATTTTTTATCTTCATTTTGTCGTAGATTTCGCCGATCAGATGGACAAAGCCAAGACATTTGGGATGCTGAAGAAGTTCGAGGTGGGGAGATGCAGCGAGGCCACGATTTCAGAGTCTTTTAGGAAACAGTCTTCGATTCTGCGGTACCTCGGGTCCATTGATCCCGGTGGAGAGGTCAGTTTAATATATGCAAATGATCATATTTTATGATCGAAGAGCAAATGAGCAAATGATTTTTTTTTTAAATTTGGTCTGGAGCTATATAAACTGATCACACTTTATGATTTTAACCCCTGAAACCTTAATTATTTATCAAGAGAAGTATCAAAGTTCGCAGTTTTAATGAGCAAGGTCAGTGGGTCATAAAAATATATGATAATATTAAAGTAAAATGATAACAAGCTGTTGAAATTTGAAAGATCAGTTGTGTGGCATTAGTGCTTTACTTCACGGATTCTGTATGAAAGCAGAGTTGGATTTGTGTACCTTTGCATTAAGGAATAAATTGGCAGTGGGCTTTTACTGCAATTAGGAAGACTTTGTCCCAAAATTTGACATTGGTACAATCCTTTTCCATTTAGCTCCATTATTTGTCAGAACAGCCTAACTTTGTTAGGCAAATTTAGCTGATCATCTTCGGTGCTAAGCATGATGCATAATATCTAAGAAGTCAGAGAGACAAAAAACAATAATTTTTGAGGCAATTTATTGTCATGCATGTTGCCGTCTATGTGGATGTACAAAAATGTAAAAGCAGACAACAAAAAATAGATGTATGTCAAAGATATGTTTTTAATTCTTAATCATTTTTGTAAGAGACGAGGGTAAGATTCTAAATGCCTCTGTTACTTGACCAATCAGCTAAGTTGCATGGAAACAGGCCTACACGGCAAATTCGTAAAATGCAGGGTATGGGGACATGAGTACAGATATTGAAATTAATAATTTACATGAGATTAATATTGTTTGTCAATTCATTTGTTACTAGAATTAAAGTTCTTTACATTTTAAAATTTCTTTTGTTATGTTGATTATTATAAATTGGAAACTACTTGTCTTTGCACTAAACAACCAAATGACCCTTTAAAATTATAGTTTTGGATTTAGGTATGGTCTGAAAGAAACCTGACCTTTCAAGAAATGTATGTGAAGGGTAGAATATCCATTCAATTAGAGTTTGACAAGTGTTTTAAAGTAAAACTGAATAAATGTACATGCATATCCAAGGAGTATCCATGAAGTTTGTGTGGGGACATGTCGGATACGTGTCGCGTACAGATGCGGCTTCATGATAGAAGTTCCTGGGTAACATAGCCAGTCAGTAACCTAAAATTGCCATCCTAACTTATTGCTATCTAGATGGTTGCTGCCCACAAATATTAATTTGAGTGAATTTTTGTTCATCAGTGCTTTCTAGTGATGAAGAACATGGGTAATGTTGCTTTGCAGTTTACATGGCTGGTCGCTATATTGCCGCTAAATTAATCTGGATGAAATAGGCTTACTCCACAATTTTTTGCTTACCATTTCTTCTTTCGTACATCCTATCTGATATGTATGATTTGTTTATATTGAAATCTCCTTTTTATGTCTTGATTAACACGTACTTCAAGAATGGACATGAAGTTGTATGTGGTTTTATTCTATTTATTGAATGTGGTTTTATTCCTTTTTATCTCAAAGTATGAATTATGGGATTTATTTGGGAATGGTAAGCTTCGTAATTTGAGACGTATAGGATTTAGGAAGATATATGTTAAATGCATTTTGTAACAATATTTTGTTTTACAGTAAACAATAGAGGTATATTATTATATATTGTCAAGTGTCAGGACATCTCTTTGTGGGTAAACATTCAGTAACCATCCTATTACTCTACAGATTCTCAATGTCTGTATCGTCTTTAGTTTATCAGCAATATCTTTTATGGTAGCCATTATATATGCAGAATTCAGAAATATATATAACATATACTCCTACATCTTCAGATCTGTGTCTATGTTGTCTCTCTAGATTTGTTTGAGATTGCTCCATTTTGTGCTTTCATCTTCTTCGGATTATTCATTGTAAGATTCTTATTTTTTTAATGTTTTCTCCACTTGTAGAATCTTAAAACCAGCCACAAACAGGATGCAGCGACACATTGTAATTGCACTATTTCTGAGGTGGAAAATACATTGTCCAAGTACACATGGGCCAAAGAGGCACAAAAAAAGATGGATAAATTGAAGGAGGAAGGAAAGCCGGTGCCAAAAACCTTCACTGAGGTACCTATCTGGTCTGTAGCTGTATGCATCTTACTCTCCTCAACAAAAGTATTCTGTTACGTATGGAATATCTCCACATACCATGAGCATGTAGATCATCTTCTTTTACGATATATAAAAAACAAATAAAACTTTGACATTCCAACCTCTATAGCTCCGTGCTAAGGCAAAGGACTCTTCTTTCCCGAAAACCTAGAAGAATAAACTTAAGAAGAATTAATATGGTTTCAACACATTTTTTGGTGTATGAAGGATTGATGTCCATGTCCACAAGTGCAATCTTCTAACCTTCACTAGCGGTTTGTATTGATTTGCTTGTTGCATGCATAGAGAGGTGTAGATTTCAACAAATAACCTGTTCAATTTATTGTTAACTGTTCTCTTTGTCTTTTAGTAAATCTTGAAGAAGTGGAAAATCTCTCTTGAGTAGACACGTTTTCTGTTTTTTCTTATGTTCTATACCACATTGTCTATCTTATTCGTTGAATTATGGGAAAAAGCTGAATAATACATTGAAAATACTAAATAGAAACCAAAACTGTACAAGTGAACTGAACTCCTTTTTCATTGTTAAGAGGATACTCACTTTTGGAGGTGAGAAAATTTTTCACGTCTTTGGCATTCAGCATGCCCATCTTGTTCATTGCATACTGTGAAGAAGAAGCTCAGTCTTCCAAGGCAAGAACTATGTACAGAGTAAACTGTTGTATGTTTACAGGAGCCTTGTGCAGCACCGTCAACAGTGAGAACTTTATATTCTTCTATTCAACTTCAGTTAATAGACAACACGAAGGACTTATATTGTTCTATTCATCTCAGATGAGAAAACCTACAAACTCTCATATTGGATCTGTTGCATGAGATGAAATCCTTGAACTTGCTGAAAATAATTGAATTAAATAGAATGTCAACATTTGAATTTCTTATTACCCTATGAAATTCTACCGTTACAGGGTACTCTGTTGCATCCGATGGTCTTACATATTCCAAGTATCTTTGCACAATATATTCCTTAATATCTCAACTTAGAATCACGATCATCCTTGTTCAGTGGTTCTCTACGGGGGCTACTTTGTAGCATGAGCAGAAGCAGAGAATGTTCCAGCAAAAATGAGCAACATTTTGTGATTGTTTATGAGCATGTCACCATCCCGACAATGTTATTTGAACCATAGGTGTCAAGTATCCAGTTCCTGAACTTCAAGAAACTGTACATGTGGACGCACACATTCTATATATTCTTGCAGATTTGTATCCATCCTCATTTATGAGTAATCCACCTAAAAATTGGTCCTTAATTCTATAGAATAAATTTATACCCATAGTTGCTACTGTCTTGTTTTTGGTATCGTTTATGCCCTATGTTATCTGGGGTACTTCGAATCTGAAGCGGTACCCGTACTCGACACGTACCCATACCCGTATCCGTAACCAAACCCCCAGGACACTCCTTGCATATATGCATACATTTATTCTGGCATGTATTCAATTAGACAGTACATGTCTTAATTTAAAAACCTTGTCATATATTTTTTTGGACATATTGACATCTACTTCTTGAAAGTTGATGGACATAGGTCAGGTTTCGAATTATGATTTTGAAGGGTCGCTTGGATGTCTAGTTCAAAAACAAGTGATTTTTCAATTTATAATCAACATATTAAAAGAAACATGAAAATGTTATAGGAATTTTAATTCTCATCATTTTTCTCATATAGATTATTAATTCCAAATAAATGATATATGTGTATGTAAATATTTATATAGCCGTGTCCGGTGCCCTACCATTTACAAATTTCCAGTGTCTCGTACCCGTTTTAGCACCTGTACCTGTACCCATGCAAGATAGTTTATGTCAAATAACAATGAAATGAAATTTCCATTTCTTCATAAGTTTAAGACTTGAAGTGTCAGAGAAGTGTCCTGAAGTGTCTAGATGCCTGAGTATCGGACACATTCACAAAAGCTAAATTTTGAAGTGTCCAGGTAACACAGTATCTTGCCTACTTGTGTCAAACTCCTATTCAGCGCATGCCGTAAGTTGTGCCAAACTCATATGCTACAGTACACAGTTGTTTGGTTGTTGAGTGGAACCGGCTTGGCTGCTCGGGAATACTGTACCATACTACCATGTTTATTATTTGTAAGGATTAGTCCTTGATGAGTTTTGAAATGGATAGATCAGAGGTTAACTGTGAAAGGAATACCCCACCCTTCCATTTGTATTTTGGGCTACAGCCTACAGGGGTGGGATGATAAACTGGGACTACATACATTTACTTGGATGAGAAATTGCAAAGGATCCTGGGAGGCTTCTACTGACCTAATTTTGATAAATATTTGGGATGTCCTCGTACCTTACCTGTGTTTTGTGTAGCATTTCTATTTTGGTTTCTCTCCCTCTCTCCTTCTGCACATTAAGTATGTGTGTGAACGAATTAACTGTCTGACCTTTTTGATACAATATAGTTATTTTCAAACTCTTGGCTTTCATAATATTGATGAAAATTTTGCACTGACTATATACATACATATTTTTTTTTCTTTTTTTAAATGCATGCAATTGTTGGTTGTTTGAATTTTTTCTTCATTTTCTAAATATATTATTCTTTAGAAGTATAAATTGCACTCAGAGGGGGTATTTGTTATACTATGGGCCTTGATACCTTTTATTTTTGTAGGTACAAAAAATGATGGGTTCGACTCCATTGGATGTTGCCAGATCTAATTTGAAAAGCAGTGGGAAATTAGGTAGGAATGCACCCTGTCCCTGCGGGTCTGGAAAGAGGTACAAAAGGTTCGTTGCCACCTGAATTAGTTTTACTCTCAATCCAGGCCATTGGTGATCTCTTTATCTAAATACCTATTCATTTTGTGAGATGTATCCTTTTGGGGCTGTATATTCCAGACTTTTAGTGGGTCCTCTGCCCCACAGGGATGGGGAAATTTTGTCTAACCCCAATTTAGCAGGTGGTAAAGTTCAACCAACACATCGATCCCAAATATTTATCTTCTGTTCCTGGAGAAACCATTACATCCATAGTCCAAGTTCCCCTTCATCCTCAACTTATTCATTGTGGAAGAAACTCATAAGCTTCCTTTAGTGCACATTCTATTTGACAATTGATGACTTATGCATCACAGGATCATCCATTATTCCATCAAACATTATTCTGCCAACTTCTTTTAAGTTAGTACATTTTGCATGTGACGCTTTATTTTTTTATATTCACAGGTGATTTTTATATAACATATCTAATGCTTAAATGTCATTTATTTGGACATGAAGGTGCTGTGCCCCTGCTTGAGATAATGTAATCCCTATGCAAAGATATCCTGAGCTCTTCACAATATGCAATCTTGGGAAGGCCTGAACCCAAGTTAACGCAGAGCTGAAGCTCGTCACTTCCTTTCATCAGTTAGCATTTCACAAACTTCACCCTCTTTTGAAAGTGAGGGCACCAAATTTTCTTCCCGCAAAAATGACATCCATTCAGTTTGTTGCAACTTGAAATCAAACTTCTGAGGACTGTCGAATAATGCGAGGGATTGTCTTTGTTATTCCAATTTGTTGCGAGTTTCTTCCTCTCAGTGCTGCAGGTCCACTATTGTAATCTTTTGGCAATACCTGTTTTTTTGCAATCATTTTGGTTGCTGTACTTGAGTCTGGGCTTTCCTGTTGTGGAAGTGAACCCTGAAGCCATAATGCACATATTTAATTGAACTCTGAATCTTGTTTGCAATTGATGTTGCATTTGGATAATCTATGTAAGATATGCCAAAGCCAATAATATTAAGCTATAATGCAACTGGGACAAACTTCAAGTTCATATTTGAATGCAATGAGCCCGTCTACTTCTAATCTGTAGTTGAGTGATCATAGTTTGATCCAGATGACCTTTATTATTATTATTATTATTATTATTATTATTATTATTATTATTATTATTATTATTATTTGCACAGCAGTATAAAGTATTGTTCTCTTCATGGTTACTATTAAACTCTATAGGTACGGGCGGAGCTTATTCGGTAAATTTTTTTTAGGGAAAATCCTCTTTTAACCCAAAGTTTTACCCCAACTTATTTAAAAACCCACTCACTTTTCAAAACATCAATAAACTCATTATATCCTATCCCACTTATTTTTAAACCCAAATGTACAATACACCCATTATTTGTATTGTATTTATCCAATAACTTGAAAAAAATCCTAAACTACCCTTCTTCCCAAACTGATCTCTCCCTCTCTCCTCCTCCTCCATCTGAAATCAGAGCTCTCTTCTTCCTTCCTCTCCCCCTTCAACCACTACCACCAACCTCCTTCTCTTCCCTCCCTTCACTTCTCCTCCTCTCTCAAGCCCATCAACCTCTGTATCCACCGCCCCTATCTCCCCTCGCCGCCACGTCACCCACCACCGTCGACCTTGAAGTAGATGAAACAGGGGCGCCGCTGAGGCGGAACTTCTGGTTCCGTAGAACAGGGCCCCCCACTTGAGGGGGCCCCCATTTCTCCTCCTCCTTCTCTTCTTCAGCTCTCGATTCCTCTCCGTCCCCTTTCATGGAGAAGCAGTTCGAGGATTTTCGGGTCCAGCTGGAAGAATCCGGATCCGTTAGGGATCGATCGGATTCGGTGGCCAGCGAGATGGAGTCCTCAGTCCGCCACTCGGCTGATTCATGCTAGCTTGCTTCTCGTTCATCAGTCACTCCCAATTCCAGGTCAATTTTAGGGTTTTAGGGTTTAAGAAATTTCAATATCTTTTGATAAAGTTCTTATCTTTTTGTGTGGTGTTTGGGGTTGGCAGAGGAAAAACCACGCGCTCTCCTCTGATCATTTCCTTCGCTGCCTGCATATCAAATTGGTAGGAAAAACCCATCGTCTTTTACAGATTGAAATGGAAAAAGGCATCAATCCGTTATTGAGACTCTGTTGCAGAACTTTAGCGTATGATGTAAAACTAGCTATTTTAAAAAACACCAAATCAATTATAGAAATTTGATCTCTTAGCAGATCCAGCACTTACCACTCAAGCTCATCGAGAACATCATCGGTCTTGTGAGCAGCATCTTTGAGTTCCCACAGCCATTCATTTGAAAGTGATATTGCATAAAAGCTTATAGATGATTCCTTTGAAAGTGATATGAAGCCTCTTATGCTAGCGTTTCTCGATATTACTTTCATGTATTTTGCTTTGGAAATACACGATAAGTTAGAATTGACAGTTAATAAAATTTTCTTATCATGCAATCATTGATTGTGGCATTTGTTTGTGCAGGAGCGTAGATTGTAACATTTTCATGATGGGATACATATATTCCATCATCAATGGCACACCTTCATTCATTCATCAGAATATGAACTTCTAGGAGGAAAGATCGCGATTGCATTTGTCTCGGAGAAATCAAAAAAATCTACTAGAAAATATTGTAATTATTGTGCATGTTGTAATCATGAATACATTGGTTTCGGAACCGAATGTGGATTGAGTATGAAACATGTTTCTTTATTGAGGAATAATTAGAAATTGAATAGCCTAGATATATAGCCTTAAAGTAGTAAACTCCGAAGCGCCTCATCTAGAAGTGTAAACATGTCAGCAGTTGCTCATTGCTTGCTTCGGATATTTGATACGATAATGTTATAAGGGCCACCAGTGGTTATATGTCTATGAAATGTTGTAATCAGTTATTTTTTTGAAGCATGTTATAAGGGCCACCAGTGGTTATATGTCTATGAAATGTGTTTCAGATCTTGTATTTTGTATCAAATGTGTACATTCATAGCTCATGGTATTGTTCTATTCCAAAACTAGTGCTATTGGATAATTTTGCGATATTTGGTTGATGCGCAACATTTATATATGTCTCATGTGTATGAGGTTCAGTTTTTTCAGAGGTCATGTTTTATGTATAAGAGTTGATGTTGTTACATAGAAAAAGAGATATATTATATTCGCCTACGTCATGTGTTGCGTGACCAATTATCCACCTCGACGAGGGGTCCTCGCGCAATTTTGAAGCTTCTGGGCAAAGTATAGCACCTTATGGTAAAGTATAGCACCTTTTGGCCAAAGTATAGCACTATACGACAAAGTATAGCACTTTATTGACAAAGTATAGCACCTTATTGGAAAAGTATAGCACGATTGGTCAATAAACACGTCACGTAGGTCGTCGAGTGTTTGCATTGCCCTAAAAAAACTGATTTGACTTATCACAATAAGTTGCTGAATTTCCAGCGACCAAAAGGTGCTATATTTTATCGATAAGGTGCTATACTATTGCCATAAGGTGCTATACTTTATAATAAGGTGCTATACTTTATCAATAAGCTGCTATACTTTCCCATAAAGTGCTATACTTTATCAAAATCTAAAAATTGAGCGAGTACCCCTCGTCGAGGTGGATAATTGGTCACGCGACACATAATATTGCCCAATAGGCTGTAGTTAACACAACCTACCATCAAAATTTCTTCAGTTCAATCAGTGCATCAGTTCATTACAGATATTCATATCTATCAACCACTAAACTCAAGCGCATAACATTGAATGAAAATAATCCATGAAGATTGAATGGAAATAATCCAAAATCACCACTATCGAAACGTTGTATACATTTCTACTAGATACATTTCTACTAGTTACACTGATAAATTTGATACAACATGATACATTGGATAGTGCATTTGATACAATATGCACACAAATCATCTATATATACATAATATAGAAAATTTCATACAACACGATACATTGGATACTACTTGGTACATCATATTGCAGGCTGTAGTTGATTTGCCGTTTGGGTTGCAATGTGACAGCAATGCGAAGATCTGATCGAATGCCAATAGTGGGGGATTCTCTCATGTATTTGATTGGAAAGTTAGTGTGCATTGACGAATGGTTTCTGATTGAGGGGTAGCTGTGCGTTACGTTAGGTGTGCCATTGATGATGGAATATATGTATCCCACCATAAAAATGTTACAATCTACGCTCCTGCACAAATAAATGTCACAATCAATGATTGCATGATAAGAAAATTTTATTAACTGTCAATTCTAACTTATCGTGCATTTCCAAAGCAAAATACATGAAAGTAATATCGAGAAATGCTAGCATAAGAGGCTTCATACCACTTTCAAAGGAATCATCTATAAGCTTTTATGCAATATCAATTCTAACTTATCGTGCATTTCCAAATCAAAATACATGAAAGTAATATCGATTTTGATGTCGTAATGCTTCGAATTATCAAAACCCACAAGAACAATAAGAATCTGAAGGACCACCAAGCAATAAGAAAATTAGAATTTTTATGTTACAACTCGTCACCATTCCCAACACCAACAAGTAAGAATAATCACCTAGTAACTTTGTACGCTTGCAAAAAGAGGGAGGATTTTCACATCAATCATCAACTCTAAGGAAAATTCTATTCATAAATGCAAGCAAGAACTATAGTTCTAATTTTAAAACATAATGTCCAGAGAGGAACCATAGTTATGTAAGTCATGGTTGATATCTCATGAATGTACATATCTTATGAGCAATTGAGCATCAAGTAAAGGTTACCTTCACTTTTTCCAATAGCTTTTTGGCATCAGCGTTATTTTTGAAGCGATCACGGACAGGCTGCAAGTTGTAGGTTCATGAGATTTTAGAATGACAGAACAATAAATTAGAATTTGAGTAACCAACAATCATCAAAATCAAAATCAAATATTGATAAGAGAGAACACTAAGCGTAAATTCAACGAACAGGTGGTGGGCAAAGAGTTGAACTAACCTGACTTGCAATGGAGAATAACATAACCCACCTCATTCTGTCGAACTCACTTCCTTTGAGCGCCAAGGATCCTCACCATCGTCGTCGGCTTATGCGAAGGTAGCTCCTTACAAAGCCAGGCGGTCTTCGACCTCCGCCATTACTTCGGATGCTCCTCAAGCTCCGTCCACTGGCGGCAACGACAAATGCTTCGGGTCCTTATCTGCCGCCACGTCGACGTACTACAGGGAGTCAATGTCGAAATTATTGGTGGGATGTTCATCTGCTTCAAGGTCGACGGTGGTGGGTGACGTGGCGGCGAGGGGAGATAGGGGGCGATGGATACAGAGGTTGATGGGCTTGAGGGAGGAGGGGAAGTGAAGGGAGGGGAGAGGAGGAGGTTGGTGGTAGTGGTTGAGGGAGAATAGGAAGGAAGAAGAGAGCTCTGGGCTCAGTTGGAGGAGGAGGAGAGAGGGAGAGATCAGTTTGGGGAAGAAGGGTAGTTTAGGATTTTTTCAAGTTATTGGATAAATATAATACAAATAATGGGTGTATTGTACATTTGGGTTTAAAAATAAGTGGGATGGGATATAATGGGTTTATTGATGTTTTGAAAAGTGAGTGGGTTTTTAAATAAGTTGGGGTAAAACTTTGGGTTAAAAGAGGATTTTCCCTTTTTTTTATAATACACATGAAGACCACTTTTGAGTCAAAAAGATAAATCCCTTGGTTTTTGTACTCCAATTATATATAGAACACACATATTCTGGTATTATTTGGGTTGTCTGACAAAATCTTGATTACGTCCGCTCCTTCGCTTATGTTTTGAAAAAGGCTGCGAGGATGCAAAGTGACCTAGCTTTTTGTATCATTTTCCATAGGCCCTCCACGCAGAATAATTAGGGTAAATTATACCTAAACCGTCAAGAACTTTCAGCGTTTTTTTACTAATCCTCCCAATAACTTTTTTAACCACTAAACCCCCATACTTTTCGGAATTGCAGAGCACAAACAATAAGTTTTCGCATTTTTCAGATAACCCCTGTAAATTAGAACAAAAATCAACATAAAAAGGCATTTTTAAAAGTTATCGGGAGTTTAATGTAATTTATCCAGAAGATTTGGAGGTTTTTTTTTTTTTTGCAAAAGTTATCGGCGCTTTACTCAAAATGCTGAAAGTTTTTTGGGGCTCAGTGTAATTTACCCGTAAATAAATGTACAAAAATATCCATTTTAGTATTAGCATGACTCATTAGTTTATTATTAGGGGTCTATTAATTTAGATAGCTTAATTTTATATGTGACATGTTACTTCGGGCTAGCTAAGTCAGTCTGAAGTCTAATCTACCTGGCTATTTATACATCACTGATACAGAATTTTCTTTAATCCAATCCGAAACTTAAAACAATCCGTTTAAAGTTGATTCATATCTGCAGAATTTTACAAAGATTTTTTTTTTTTGCTCCTTCAGAATTGTTTTAAATAAATTTGACTACGATTTGTGCTTCACAACACAAGATAGGATAAAATCAATTGGTTTAAATACACTGTTAACAGTTAAGATTTACACC